TGGCATGAATCGCGGGGCTACCCCGACTCAACTCGCCGAGTCTCAAGATCAACTCGGCGAGTTCCGTCTTGAACTCCAGTCCTCTAATCCCTCTCTGACTCACTGAGTTATTTTCCCAACTCGGTAAGTCTACTCGCTGAGTGATTTACGGGAAACCCTAACCCTACTCGCCGAGTCTGATCTTTGGAGTCGACGAGTTCATGCCATGCAAAAACTCCATTGACCTCCTGAGGTCAGATCTGTTCCTTAAACCCATAGATTTGACCTTCCCAAGCATGATAATCATGTAAAGTTCAAACCTTGACACTCATATAACATCTAGATGGTCCTACGTGGTGTTTAGCCCTAAAAATAAACTCCTAAGTTCTTGGCTCCCAAAATAACCCATAAAGCTCCAAGGGTTAAGGTCACTGGACCTCTTTGAGTCCAGATCCAAAGCATAAACTTGAGAAGGGACCAATTGCTCCACATATCCATTCTCTAAAGGGGTTAGAAAACCCTAACTCTAAGAATCAACACCAAAACTGAAGAAGGTCTGAATAAATACCTCAAGATGAAGTCTCTGAACTCTGAAATCACCAGATCCGCTCCTCCTTCAGCCTCCTCTTGCCTTGGTCACCTCCTTTTTGCAATCACACCAACAAAATGATCAAAAGTGGCCTCTCCTCCCTCACAAACGCTCTAGATCTCTTAGGGTCTCTCTTTGGGGTTTGGTAGCTGCATATGACGGCCCTAAGGGCCTTTAAATAGGTGCCAAACCCGGGAAATTAGGGTTTCATTAAACAGCGTGGACTCGCCGAGTCCGGTCATGAACCCGGATGAGAATCCGCGACCCTACTCGGCGAGTCTAAGCACCAACTCGCCGAGTCCCTCTACAAACTCCAAAATAAATGAATAAAATAATATACCTGAGAATCCGGATGTTACAGAGTTCCTATTAATGAGATCTTCAATTCTCATTTAGGTCTTGTAGGCCAAAAACCGCTCGAACTAAAATTCGAGTTTTGGGTCATGCATTGTTATGCCAAATCTTATAAAATTCATAACTTCCTCATACGAAGTCAGATTTGGGCGTTCTTTTTTTGTATGTTCTCGGTTTAACATATACTACAACTTTTATTTGGATCGATAAGGCTAAAAAGTCCTTTATCAAAAATTCACTATTTACGTCTCCCGGTGTCGTGCCGGTTTTGCCGTAAAAGTTCGACGGGCCATAACTTCTTCGTTATAACTCGGATTTCGGCGTTCTTTATATGTACGGAACCCTTGAGATATATTATAAAGATTGGTTAATATTATTTATTCTAAATAATCTTTTGTCAAAAAGTCGTTTTTGACCCTTATTATCTCTAAATTGACTAACCCGGATCTACGGGCGTTACACATTCCAACCTGCTGGTTGAGGGTCTGGGGTATTACAACACGATGGGTGACTGGACCCATTGTATACTGTTTATATTTGTGTGTATGAGTATTTTTTGGGAAACTTATTAAACTTTCGGACTTACAATTTCAGTCTATTGTTTCAGGTACATCAGGGGACCGAGGCAAGGCAAAGAAGTGATCGTACCGCTCCTCACATTTTGTTATGTATTCTGGGAAAAACTCTGATAAAAACTATTTTGGAAACCCATTTATAGTCACTATTGGTTTTTAAATGTTTTTTGAAAGTTTAAATTTGGCTTAAATCTTATGGGTGTTATAAGTTCAAAAATGAACGTTCAAATTGAATGGGAAGTGTTTATAATGATTGTGAGTATTTAGTATTGGGGAAGTTCATAGGATAATAAAAATCAAGTTTTTCTCTTGGGGACAAGCAAAAGTTAAGTGTGAGGTATTTTGATATTTACATATTTAATCATATATTTTGTGCATTATCTTAATATTTTTAGCTATAATTATGCTTATTTTAGGACAAAAAGTATTTAATATGTTTGAAATTTGTTTTGTAGCAGTAAATACATGCTCGACATGAAAAAGAAGCAAATGTGGAGCTCGAAGCAAATTTGATCAAATTTTTTGCCTATATGTATTCCATATTGGATCAGAATATTCTATTATCCACATAAATTAAAAAAAAATGTGTTGGTGAATTAATATATTAAGGATATACTTGATCCAAAATGGACTTGTTTGATGTTTTGGTGTTTAGTATTTCATTTAAAATCAACTTATCAACTTATTAGCTTTTTGAAAAGTGAATAAGTTTTTAAAAAAAAAGTTTGGCAATATGAAACACTTTTAAAATAGCTTTTATCAACTCTTTGAAAATTGAAATTTCAATAAGTTAGGATTTCTAACTTTTCAAAATTCCTTATAATTTTTTAGATTGTAAAAGCTAAAATATCATTTAAAATATGTATAATGTAACACTCGGAATCCCATGTATATTATTTTAATATTTTATTTTTGGAATTTGTGAAGGAACTCGGCGAGTTGATGCTTAGACTCGCCGAGTAGGGTCGCGGTTGATCATCCGGGTTCGCGTTGGACTCGGCGAGTCCACGCTGTTTAATGAAAACCTAATCCTCCGGGGTTGGAGCCTATTTAAAGGCCCTTATGGTTGTCCATTGCGGCTACCACACCCTAGAGAGAGTCTTAGATCGCTTGTGAAGAGAAGAGAGGCCATTGTTGATCAATTGTTGGTAAAATTTGAAGGAAAATGTGACCAAGGCAAAAGAAGGCTGAAGGAAGTGCAAAGCTAGTGTCTTCAGAGATCAAAGGCTTCATATTAAGGTATTCCTTCGGACCTTCTCCAGTTTTGGGTGTTGATTCATAGAGTTTGGGTTTTGTTATGGCCTTTAGAAGAAGAATATGTAGAGTATTTAGTCCCCTCTCGAGTTTGTGTTTGGATTTGGACTCAAAGGGGTCCAGAGACTTCAACCCATGAAGCTTTATGAGTCTTTGTGGGGTGATTGGACTTAGGTTGCCATTTTTGGGACTAAATCACCATTAGATGCCATTATGTATATATATAAGCATCAAGTTTCGAGCTTTACGTGATTATATTGCTTGGGAACGACAGATCTATGGATTTGAGGAACAGGATCTGACCTCAGGAGGTCAATAGAACTTATGCATGGCATGAACTCACCGAGTTGTTCTTGGGACTCGGTGAGTTGAGTCGGGGTAGCCCCGCGATTCTTGCCTGGGGACTCGTCGAGTAAAGAGAGTGACTCGACGTGTTAAATGGGACTAAAAGAGTTAAGTGGACACAAGTGGACTCGCCGAGTTGCCCAAGTGCACTCGCCGAGTCGGGTCAAAGTTTGACAATTGACTTTGGTTGACTTTTTGGGGTTTGGTCAACAACGAAGGCCTTTGAGCCAAAGGAGGGGTAAAATGGTCTTTCACCCTTCTAAGGGAGCTTAGAGAAAGTAGAGTCTAGTTCTAGGAGTTATATTTATGAGAATATTACTTTATGTGTTTAGGCAGAAGCTAGATCGTATTTCTATCGAGTCAGTGATTTACCGAGACATCAGAGGTGAGTCTTCTCACTATATTATACCTGGAAGGGTACTTATGTGTGACCGGAAGGTCTGATATGCTAAAAGATATATGCATTGTATGTGATTAGTTGCCCGTTTTGTATGTGCTATGTATGCTATGCTTGATATGGGTCGGAAGACATTATGTTATGGGCCGGAAGGCACTATGATGTAGACCGGAAGGTCAGGGAGTTATGGACTGGAAGGTCGACACGGGAAGGACCGGAAGGTTTACCGGGTTGGGACGGAAGTCCCTGAGACACATGGACAGGAAGGTCATTGCTTGAAAGGGTGTATGTGTGTAAGTGGTATTTTGGGGAACTCACTAAGCATTTATGCTTACAGTTGTTGTGTTATGTGTTTCAGGTACTAGCGATGATCGTGGGAAGGCGCCGACATGATTTGTACACATTAACGGAAGATTTATTTTATGATCTTGGAATGTATTTTTATTATGATGACATTTGCTAAACATGAGATTTGAGAATATTGAATGATAGTTTATGTTGTTTGAAAAATGAAAAAAAAAAATTGTTTTGAAAATTCACGTTGTTACATATAAGTTAAGACAAACACTTTTTAAAAAATAACTTATTGACCTATTGATTTTCACCATAAAAACTACTTTAAATACTTTTAAAAACACATTTTCCTGCAACCACAAGAAAATAAATCCTTTTGAGTTTCAAATGAATCTCATAAAAATTTGTTTTCTATCTAAACGTAATTTTAATATTAAATTGCTTTCCTCGATTATTTATTGCTAATTCTCCCTTGTCCAATTAGTGAATTACTACCCCTTCTCCTCCCTTAGACACCTTGTTATGTAGTATGTATTTGTACAAGTTTTGGAAATGTTTCATTTTGTTGCGTTACATATTGTTTTTTGTTCTACTTTCACCTTCATATGACTAATTTGTTTACATGACTTGAGCATGAGTTAACCTAACATTAATGGACGAGACCTGCATAAAAACTTATGTTGAAATGAAAAAAGTTTTTGGTTCGACTGTTTCTGACGGTAACAAACCAAGTTAATGATAATTTTCTTTTACAGTTGAGTTGAGAATGAATACAATTTTAAATAGGTAAAAGACTTGTGTAACGATGATGATTGACGTTATTTATTTTATTTTCATGACATTGCAGTTTTTGAAGTTGTGAACGTTATGATCAGATTTTTTTTTGTTAACGGTAAACATTGATATTTTTTATGAAGTTTTTTGAGTTTTTATTATTATAAAGAAACGTTCTTTTTTCAATCTTCATTGGTAGTGTTTTTTTTTTTTACATTTTTTTTCAATCTTAATTTGGCAATTTCTCTATTTAAGCCTATAGTTTTTCTTCTGAAATTTGGCAGACATGTAATTGTCTGTCTCCATGCCCATAAACCCATAAATCTTTTATCCTACAACATTAACATATACTGTTGTGCTTCCATTTTTTTCCAAAACCCTTTAACATCTACTATTAATCTATTATTGAGAAGAATTATGGCCATTTTTTTTCATGGAAAAAAAAAAAAGCAGATGTCAGATTCTCATTGACAAAACCGTAACTGTTGTACTAAATGCTCAGCCAGTCGAAACACAGTCTAATCTACTTACTAAAACTAGTCTTTAATTCCAACTATGTCCCAGACATCATGGAGAAACCAAATAGTCACATGTCTACTTGAAAAGAATAGTAGAATTTGAAAGCTAAAATCCATACTTAGCAATGAACCCCACCAGTTGCTACAAACATTTATAGCCCAAACAAACAAAGAGCAAAAGGTTTAAGGAACCAATTCTAAACTAAATTTATAGTCGTACTATACCTACCTTACCTTATATTTATCAAATTAAGGCAAGGCCCCAACACAAATACCTACCTTACCTTAAGCTTACTTCAGTGCTTTCCCCAAAATCTGGATCTGGATCTGGATTTGGATTTGGCCCTGAAAATATATCTGAAGCATTTAAAGCCAGCCTGGTAAAAAGAGAAGAGATCTTTTCTATGGTAATAAATATATGAGATGCTCTCCCCAAAGCATTTACATATTTCCTTTGTCCTCTCTCAAGTGTAGGTCTTGTTTTTATACAGTGACCACAATGCACTTTCAATTTCCATATCCCCATATACCATCCATCCATAACCCCCATGATTGAGAGAGAGAGAGAGAGAGAGAGAGAGTATTTATTAAAGATGAGATTGAGATAGCAGATGGAAATGGAAAAGCAAGCAAGATTACAGAGTATTTAAAAAGTAGTGCAACTCACCTCACCAGTAGCAGTGGGTAGTCCCTCCTAGGCTACATGATGATTGACGGATGATTCAATATCTATTATTATTATTGTATGCCTTCCCATAGTCTTCGTGCCTTTGACTTTGTCGCTGCTGAAACTCTCCCCCATAACTGTCATGTGACCTCGAAGAAGGATAGTTGTCAATATCTGGATACCGTATCCTAGTTGAATCCACTCCCATATTTCCAGTTCCACCAGCATAACCAGAATTCTCATATTCAGGGTAACCATCCTGTTTATAACCACTAAATCCAGAAGGAGGAGGAGGCTGCTGACGCCTTTGAGCCTCAGCTTGAAGAAACTCTTCCCACTGCTTTGCATGCATTGCTCGCACCATACCAAACCTCTTCATGTAATCTTCTCTCATTTCTCTCACAGCCTAATAATTAATAATAATAACTCATAACTAAGTAATACACATATGTATATTATATATAATTAAAAAGATACCAAAGTGTATGTAGTATGTAGTAGTTAGTGTATACCTGACGATGTCTGTTATTTTCTTCATCTTCTTCCTTATCTCGAATTTCTGTAATCTCCATTGCATCCCTCTTATATTCCAAATGTAAGTCCTCCAATGTCTGTGGGCCGTTACTGCTAGATTGCTTGTCAGGACCATCCACCCATCCTTTGTTCCTTTGCATCGCCCCTGCCCGGCGCTCATCATCATATGAACAACCACCACCACCACTGTAAGGAGACTTTGAATGGGCTGACCGACCCCGGGCACCATCATTCTCATAAGCTTCACCAAATGAAGAGTGTGTGTTAAACACTTGGAGACTCAAGACAATCTTAAACTCAACCCATCTGGATACATGTGTATATCCGTTCAACCCACAAACTTCACTCATAATTCTTGAACATAACAACACTTACCTCTCGCTGCTGCTGCAAATCAAATTAAGGATAACCAACAAGCAACATTACTATTATTTTTATTATTACTATTATTTTATTTTATTTTGAGGCCAAGGGTGGGTCTTAAACCACACAAGCAGGCATAATACTATCGATGTGATATCCCTTACCTAGTTGTGGGGACCCCCTGGGTAACCTATGCACATCTTCAATCATCTTCTCTTGCCTGCTGCTGCTAAACCTCTGGTTATAATGTGATGGATTTCGAGGACTAGGATTATTAGGCCTTCCCATTCTAGAGCTAATAGGACTTCTTCCTTCTGGTGACCTTGACCTAGTCACTTTCTTGTCCCCTTCATTTTTTATTTTGTGAACAGCATCTACGCCTTTAGCCAGTATCAGCCTATCCTTCCCACTAACAATCATAAATTTCTCCTCCATCTTAATTTTGCAACCGATATCCTTCTCAATTTGCCTTATAACCTTCTCGCTAAACAGTGCTTTCACTTGAGGATCTCTTGCAGGAACCCTTTCAAAGAAATCTTGAGACTTGCGATTCGCTCCAAGAGTAGATGGACAACCCTATCCAAATAAATAAACTAAGAACAACCATTTTATTTATAAGATGATGAATCATATGAGATTTGAATACCTGAGTAAAGTGGCCAGATTCTCCACATATTTTACAAATCATTTCTTCTTCTTTTCGTTTCTTCCAATTCCTTTCAGTAGCTTTAGATTTCGCCTCCCAGACCTTAGCTTCCCGGCTAGTGAAATCAGTGGGAACAGCATTCGGGTCTCGGGTTCCATCCTCTTCATCAGAGCCGGCATACGATCTTTTGTTTGCTTTTGTAATTGTGGTGTCGGGCCCACTTGTATTAGTATTACTTCTTGGTGGACCAGTGTATTCCTTGTACAGATCACTAAAATCATCATCAATGTCTGAATCTTCTCTATTCGACATATCTTCACCTAATTAACCAAACCCTCCATATCAATTATCAAATCAATAATCAATACCACACTTTATACAAACTCAAAACTTATTAACCAAACCCTCTATATCAATTATCAACCTGTTGCATTGCATTATGAGTAGGGGTGTCGATCACATTTCAGAGGCCTCTCGCAACTTATTAACTTTAGGCACTAAAACTAGTAAGTTTCAAAAGATTTAAAAAAAAAAAAAAAAAAGTATTTTTGTTTCAAATCATAATATTATTAGGACAAATGTTTTCATTCAAAATTGAATACCAAACAACCTTACCTTTATCTGAAATTGTCATCTTCTAGATGAAACAAATTTTCCAATTATTTTCTTAATTTTAAGTTTCTTTTTACATTTTTGATATCAAGATTCATATTCTTAAAGTCTAGAAGACATTCTAAAGTGTAGAAAGAAACAAAAAAACACTTGATTCGTGAATTGCCTTTTTGACAATCTGGTTTGCTCCTTGTTTTGAAACTTGAAAGAAAGAAATTGAATCAAAAGCTTTCATACAATTTGATATCAAAACAATCATGAAACCTTTCTAAATGTAATATACAACATTTAGTCGTTCTAAGCATTTTCACAAGTCCATCACCAAATCTTTTAACAATATATAAATCATATCAGCAAATATGGATCCTTTCATTTTACTTCTGTTAACACCTACTTAATAATTTAGAACCATTGATCTGTTGCTCTATTTTTTTCTCTTGATATCTCTTATTTGAAACATAGAGAATATAGGGCAACCATGTTCAAAAGTGAAAACCATACGCTCATTCAAAAGTGAAAACCATGATGAATTTAATTTCTTAATGTCCTTAATCTGCTTTCAGTTAGAAGCATCCTCTACTTATTTTTCCCATATATTTTTTATTATGATGCGAGGGGATTCAGGGTTTCTTCAACAAAACTCAATATATGTTGTACATGTATTTCAAAATCCGAAAGAGCTGAAAAACATTATTAAAAAAAAAGGCTGTGAATTAAGCCGGAAGCAGAGAGAGAAAGTGGAAACTGGCCGGCGTAAGTCGATTTCCGGCGGCAAATTAGAGAGGGTGACAGAGTAAGAGAAGAGAGACGTGATTAGTGAATGGCAGGCGTCATAGATTGCCAATGAATGATGAATAAACAAATCGTGAAACGGTGAGTGGCATCCCTCGTCTTCTCCAATCTAAATCATAATTATAATCTAACCGAATCGAAATAGCATCGTATAATAAGTATCGATGACAAGCCTTTAGCAGAACAATTCAAAAGAGACGATAACTTTACCGGAGGATAAGATCAGTGAGCGGCGACAGCAATAGAGAGCAAAACGCAGAGCGAGGTGAGACAGCTAGGGCTCGTTTTTCACTCCTGCCTGGAGAAGCCCTTAATGTTGTAGAAATACGGAGTATATGGCAAAATATTACACGGCGAAAACTGAACTTACACTGTTAATCAATACTAAACAAATGGGTTTGGACTTTGGATCAAAAAATTAAATTTGTTACATAAACGGTCTAGAAAAAATCACTTTTGTTTATTAACCACGTGTTTGGCTTATCTTTTTGGAGCAAAAAATCTTTTTGGCAAAAATTACAACAAGATAATGTTTCTTAATTCACTTTTCTTATATTAAAAATAAAAAATTAGTTTTTAAAATGATTTTACCAAACATCTTTTGCATTCTATTTTTTCAAAAAGAACTTTTAATAAACCAAACATCCCCTTAAAATGGTAATATATTTTTTGATTTGTACATATTTGGATATTAAGGGTTTTTTTTTTTTTTTTATGTTTACCTCTTCAACTTGTTAAACTGTACATATTCAATCCTTATGACCGGCTATTTCATGTTAGCCGGTAAAAATAACTTAATAGGATAATATATTTCTCATTTTGTACACATTTAGTTTTTAATATTTTTATATACATTTAGTCCTTTTTTTTGCAAAATAATTTATTTTTATTTTTATACTCATTCAATACTTATGAATGGTTTTTTGTTTTTTCTCACACCATCTTATGTGGAACAATCATTAATGAGATGTTTTGGGCTTTTGATGCTTATGTTCATCGCGATTTCGACTACTTGGTTGCTTAGGTCATGTGTTCTAAACGTTATAATTTTTTCATATGATCTCGGATTTTAACGATATTTATATTCATGCGTTCGTATTTTCGTCTACTACAACTTTCATTTGGATTACTCATGTTAGTAGTAATATATTTTTTACTTACGATATTTATATCCATAGATTTTTTATGAATGCATGCATGGATTTTTTTTTAATCGTAAGTAAAAATATATTACATTTTAAAGGAAGTAATCTTAACAAAAGATATAATAGACTAAAAAAACGAACATGTTGATATAAATATCGTTAACATTTGATATCATATGAAGAAGTTACGACATTTAGAACACAAGACTTAAGTCTAACCACAAGATTTATGCAACCAAGCAGTCGGGGTCGCGATGGACATAAGTATCAACAGCCCCAAAAACAAAAAGTAACTTATTTCGGAAAAAAAAAATATTAAGGACTAAATATATACAAAAATATTAATGACTAAATATGTACAAAATGATAAATATATTACATTATTAAGTCATTTTTTCGACTAACCTGGAGTAACCGGTCATAAGGACTGAATGTGTACAATTTAACAAGTTGAAAGGATAAATATGGACAACAAAAAAAAAACTCAGTGACCAAATATGTACAAATCAAAAAATATATTACATTTTTAAGTCATTATCTCTTACTTAAACATACATGTAAAATGTAAATAGGTAATGTTTTGGGTTGAGAATTTCAACTCATTTTTTTTTCATTTTATATCTTAGTTTTTTTAATTTCTTTAAATAAACTAAAGAAAAAAAAAACTTAAAACTAAAACTATACATAAAAGAAAACATTTGGTATAGTCATTTTGTAATGTAGAAAATAATTTAGGCATATATGTCAAAAGTTTATTTTCAATTTTTTTTGTTACCTAACAAACTACACAATCCCTCAACCGCTCCCTTATTCTTATGATCCCGCCCTCCACCTTTCAGTATCATACTTTTTTCTATTTTGTCCTCTAAATTTATTATGAACCAGACGAATATCCTCACGTTACGTATAAATAAAATGAGAAAATGTCACTGTATCACATTAAACTTTAGTCATTTTCCCGATTTGGTCACTAAACTTTTTTGTGCAATAGACCGTTAAACTCGTTATTGACATGTTAGTTAAACCATTTTGGTCCAATTTGAAACGGTTACCCGGTGTCAATCCTATGTGGAACTTAATTTCATTTTCCCTTTTTATTTTTTTCATTTTTTCCGATAATCATTTTTTTTTCATTTTAGCTGTAATAAAGTCATTCTTTACATTCTTCATGAAAATTATAGGATCTTCTTGCTGCAAGATCATCAAAACTCTGTAAGCTTAAAACCTATATGAAGATCTTTCTCATCTTGTTTGCGATATCCTAACCCCTGAAATTTTCGAGCTCATGGCAAGATTTTGCTATGGTTTTGAAGTCAATTTCACACTAAAAAATTAAACGTCATTCTAATTTATTGTTTAGCTTGTTATTTGGGTATAATCGATAGCCAAAACCTCATTAATCTTTTAAATCAAGATCTATCATTCTTTGAACACCAAATCATAACAGGTTAGAACGAATCGATCGGATCCTTGAAAGCCACGGTTCTTCAACGAGCGACAAAACTAGGGTTAATCGATGCTTGCGTTGATTCAATCATTTCAAAAGCATTAAATAAACTGATTTATCTTGGATAACCGATAGAACCAATCAAGAATCTGACTTTCTGATGAAAATAAACATGAGTTAAATGGTGATGTGTACAAACCAAACTGTAGCATCCAAAAAATATGGCCCAAAAAAATTATTTTTAAATTAAGAAAACCAGTAACTCAAAAGCATCATAATACAAATCCAGATAAAAAAAATGTCAACCATCGTATTACGTCAAAGTAAATTAAGAAAATATGAAACAAGGTGGTGTGCTCTGCAATCAACCTGAGCTCTTCCCTTTAGAATTGGAAGTACTCGAAACATAAAACCGTAAACACAAAGCTTAGTGAGTTTCCCAGAATACCACATACCATACATAATACGCACATAATGGGTCTCACCCGTCATCGGGCCCCGCTCGGTATACAGTTCGGGCCCCGCCCAACATAAATATAACATATATCATATAAACACATACACATGCAATAATCACAAAGATACATAGCATACATAATAATCATCGAGCCCCGCCTGACATCGAGCCCTACCCGGTAAGCATACAAGTACATGATACATGCAAGAGTCATGCAGACATCTAGCACCCTAATATAACATAATCATGGGCCGATATTGGTACCTTCGACCTGCTAAATACAGTGAGGAAACTCACCTCGCACTACTGAATCACATTGATAAATCCATGGTTGTTGGTCTGACCCTGAGCTATCGATATCAAATAACATCCAATTAATAATTAGATTCCAATCCACAACCATCAGTCCAATATTTACGGTAAATGACCATTTTACCCTTTACCTAGCTTGGACCAAGACTTAGTTCCAAACCTCTAATCTAAAAGGCCTAATAACCAAATAATCATCCAAGGCCCAAACATGGCCCAGTTTTCCAAATTGGGCCCAAAACCTTTCCATGGGCCTTTCCCTAAGGTCCAAAAATATTTCTAGCCTAAAACTCCTGAATTCAAATTGCCCAACAAAATCCTAAACACCTAGGACCAAAACATGGCCCAAACCAAAGACCAAATGACCGAGGCCCACTCTACTAAGTACACAGGGCGTACTCAGCTCGTACACGTAGCGTACTTGCCTTAAGGCTTGCACGCTAAGCGTACATGCCTGTACGCCCAACGTACCCTCGTATTTAGCCATCTTCCCCTTCCAGCTCTTAATCCTTTAAGACAACACTCCACAACCTAGATCTGACTTCCTTGGGTTGATTTATCACATAAAGTTGCTAACTTTATGTGCATGCATGACTTAAATGAAGCTCTTAAAGCTCAAAAGGACTTATTAGATGACTTAAAGCATGCATAAGGCCATAAATACCATAAAGTTGCTAACTTTATGCCTAAGAAACTCATAATATGACCAGATCTACAAGAACAATCCCCATAAACAACTTAACCCATCAAGCTAACCCAAAAAGGGACCAAAAGCATAAAAACCCAAGACATGAAAAGATCTAAACACGGAAAATACAATGTATGAACTTGATACCTCAAAAGACTTGCAAAATAAATGGAGATCCTGGATCTATAAACTTCACACCTGTCACACCCCAAAACCAAGAACGGTGGAAACATTCTGGGGCGGAGGACGTCATGTACAGTATCACAACAATGAAAAGTAGTAAACAAGCAACAACATCATCCATTGCATTAATAATATAACTTTAATACAAGTGTGTTCTGTCAAATTTTAATATAGACACTAAAGTACAATCAAAATAAAAGATGAGTCTTGATCGGGCTCCATCTTCTCTAAACCTTGCATCGGTACCTGTTTATCGTTGACATGAGGATACAAGTTATTTTGAAAGAGAGTATCAACTTTAAAGTTGGTGAGATCATAAGTATTAATGTGTCTTAATTTGTAAAACTAGTAATTAAAGACTTGACATTGTTTTGAAAGAAAGCTCGTATAAGTATGAAAATGTTTGTAGAACAGCTGTAAACGTTTGAAAAACCCTAGAAATCCCTATGATTCCTACTATTATAAAATTGAGTCTTCTACCAAGACCTAACTGCTCTGAATGTAGCCTTCTACCAAGACCCAACTGTGTTACTATTATTATTATTATAAGAAATTGTATCCTTTGGTACTAGGATACTCAAATATAATTCACCTCATCGGTTATGTGAATGAGTCACCAAATAAAGGTAATAATATAACTAACCTAAGTATTACCCTTTGGTACTAGGGTAACTAACCGTGTTAACTTAAGACATCCGTAGATGTACATTTACCTCTGTTGATAACAGCTAGGTGTAGGAATAGTTAATCCCTTAAAGTATACCTGTAATGGTATCAACCGTAGGCATCCGTAGATGTTCATTATCCTCTGTAGCTAACAGTGGCTATAGGAATGGTTAGTCCCACAAATTATCATTTGGTACTAGGATATTAAATCCAATCTATCTCGTCGATTATGTGATTGTATCACAAGGTAAAGATAAGAATGAGGATTTTATAACGTAATCTATACACATAAAATGTAATAATAACTCATCATATATTATATATGTAAATGTACTCATGTAAGCGTGTTTATGTAAATGTACTCATGTAAATGTAATCATGTAAATGTACTCATGTAAATGTAATCATATATGTGTTGTAATGTTCTGCGTGTGCTAGTTGTAACGTGTGTTCTCTTTCTATCTAGCAAGTATTGACTCATGAATGAACTGACTCATTGTATGATATCGTGTTCTAATAATAGTTCTAGTATCTTCCTAAACTACCCCTATGGTAGTTTACTAGTAATCTAATTGGTACGTATGGACATGGATGTATACCCTTGCTACCCAAGGGTATTGAATGAAATGGGAGAACCTTTATGACTATATATGTACACATGATATATATAACTAATATTTAAATGACCTTCGGACGGGTACCCGATATCCCACCAGACCACATCTCAAGCGCGAAAAGGAAATAGGGTGGATAGCCTTCCTAAGTCTTTTAAACATTTCTTATATAACTATACATATATAGGCATGCAATTGATAATATAAAAGCATAAAATAAGTTTGGTAAAACCTTTGAACATAATTATTATCTAAGAAACGATCAACTTGATGTCAATCTATAAAATGGTTTGAAAGCGTGGGTTTGATAAAACAGTTTAAGTATAAAAGAACATTTGTTTGAAACACAATTATAAATGAGTTTGAAATGAAGTGTACAGAGTAAAGTGTACAACTTAATAAGGAGTTTTAATCATATAAAATGTTTATGAAAATCATTTGAAGGAAACGGTTTTGTAAAATGGCTAATGAGTAGCCAATCATTTGAATGTTGCTTACTAATCACATGTGATTGATATAGTAACTAGCATAATTCTACTTGTATCCCCCCCATAAAAAATTTAAAACATTTAAAACATTGATTAAGGGGTATGAACTCACCTGTAGATGGTGGTTTGGATGTACTGAACGGTGTCGGATTGTTAAGTGTCAAGTGAGGACTTGTATA